TGCGCCTGCAGGCGCCTCCGTTCCGCATCCAGGCCAGCATGCCCCTGCGCGACCGCGTCGTGCCGTGCTGCTGTCGCTGGGGGGGGGGGGTCTGTGCGCAGTGCCTGGGCCCCTCGTTCTGCATACCTTCGGGGGGGCCACTTCGTCACCAGAGCAGGGCGCGCCCCGGAAGGGGGGAGCCGCGGGGTCCAGGGACGGGGCCCCGCTCCGTGCTTCGCGGCTCTGCGGGCCAGGAGGGGCCCAGATCTGCCACCGTGCCGCGAGGCAGGCACCTCGCAGTCCTCAGCCCTCTGCCCCCCCAAGAGTGGATACATCAAAGGGCCCAGACCCTGAATCCTCACATGTTCTGGGGTTCCCGCGTGCCTCCCGTGCTGCCCCGGCGCACCCGGGAAGGCGGGCTCGGAGCCGAGAGGCGCCCCAGAGGCCACGTGGACCCCGAGGGGCCTCTGACGGGAATCAGACCGACCACAACCACTTCGGACTGTTCAGGGACTGCTTCGGTCGGATTGCAACCACTGGAAACGGACTGATCGCAACCTAAAGGATTACTATACAAACCTGTCAGGAGAACACCGGATTGCAACCCATCCAAGAGCTCCTGCTGAGGCCGCTGAAAGGCTTCTCTGAGGCCTCTGAAAAGGCTTCTCTGAGGCCTCTGAAAGACTTCTCTGAGGCCTCCGAGAAGCTTCTCGGAGGCATCTGAAAAGGCTTCTCTGGGGCTTCTGAAAGGCTTCTCTGAGGCTTCTGAAACGCTTCGCTGAAGCCTCTGAACAAGCTTCTCTGAGGCTTCTGAAAGGCTACTCTGAGGCCTATGCGAGGCTCGTGGGAGGCTTCTGAGAGGCTTCTTGGAGGCTTCTGAGAGGCTTCTGAGAGGCTTGAGGGAAGCTTCTGAGAGGCTTGTGGGAGGCTTCTGAGAGGCTTCTGAGAAGCTTCTGAGAGGCTTCTGCGAGGCTTCTGAGAGGTTTCTGAGAGGCTTCTGAGAGGCAGGCTTCTGAGAGACTTCTGAGAGGCTTCTGAAAGGCTTCCTGAGAGGCTTCTGCGAGGCTTCTGCGAGGCTTCTGAGAGGCTTCTGACACGCTTCTGAGAGGCTTCTGAAAGGCTTCTGCGAAGCTTCTGAGAGGCTTCTGCGAGGCTTCGGAGAGGCTTCTGCGAGGCTTCTGCGAGGCTTCGGAGGGGCTTCGGAGAGGCTTCGGAGAGGCTTCTGCGAGGCCTCTGCGAGGCTTCAGAGGCGTCTGAGAGGCCTCTGAGAGGCCTGCCCCGCAGGCCCCACGGGTCCCACAGGTCCTGCGTGTCGCACGGGCGCCACAGGTCTCGCAGTCCGCGCAGGGCGCACACGTCCCCCAGCCATGGTTCCCACAACCACCACAGGCCCAGACCGCCTGGCGTCGTGACAACACCTGTTTTTGTTTCGGGCTCGGGGGGCCGTCGCCTGCCCCGGGGGCCGTCCAACAGTGACGACTCAGTATGCCATGCTGGTCTACTGGCGTTGGTCCGTGCGGCGTTGGCGCGCCAGCGACGTTGGCGAGGGCGTTCAGGGCTGCACTCTGCGACGCGGAAGCACCGAGGGACACGTCGGGCCCACTGCACCCGACAAAATTCAACATTGATCGATCGGGGCCGCGATCGATTCAAGGTTGAACGATCCACGCGGTGCCAAAAGCCTTGCGGGTGCATACGCCGCTCGAACCTGCCGTAGGAGAATTCGTCCAGACCTCTGGGGGTCGACGTCCTGGAAAAGTCATAGCTTTGGGTGTTGGGGCCGCCGCGTCTACCCGCCTTGCCATCCTGTCCTCTTCCGTTTCCCCCCTCTCCTCCTCCTCCTCCTCTTCCTCCTCCTCCTCCTCCTCCTCCTCCTCCTCCTCCTCCTCCTCCTCCTCCTCCTCCTCTGCTCCTGCTCCTCCTGCTCCTGTCCTTCCTCCCTCCCCTCTTACTCCTTCCTCCTCCCCCCCTCCTCCTCCGCCTCCTCTTCGTCCTCCTCGTCCTCCTTTTCCTCCTCCTTCTCCCTCTCCTCCTCCTCCTCCTCCCTCCTCCTCCTCCTCCTCCTCCTCCTCCTCCTCCTCCTCCTCCTCCTCTTCCTCCTCCTTCTCCTCCTCCTCCTCACCACCACCATCCTCCTCCTCCTCCTGCTCCTCCTCCTCCTCCCCGCTGAGATGCAGTTTGTTTCACTCCAGGCGTTTTCGCTCAGTTCCGGTTTCAATCGTATACGAAGCAAATAGGAATCGGATACGGATCATGGCCAAGTTCGAGCTCCAATACATGCGTTTAGCTGAGATCATGATCGGCCGTCTGTGATCGGACCGATCGCAACCGCTTTTTCAGATTCCCATTGGGCGGCTTAAGGGAACTCATTGAACACAGAAGCGCTCTTATGATCTCCTCCTTAATCAAAACCTTCTTGAAACGACCCCAAAACATCGCAACCACTTCGGACCGATCGCAACTGGTTGCGATCGGTCCGAAGTGGTTTACGATCGGTCCGAAGTGGTTGCGATCGGTCGTGCTCGCGGCCTCTGACCTATCACCAAGGCGCACTGGCGGGATGAGCCGAAGGCCAGTAGGAACTGATTCTGGACGGAGCCTGGCGGGAGCGAGGGACGCGGCAGGACGCGGCAGGACGAGCGAGGGAGCAGGGAGGTGGCGCTGACGGAAGGCAAGGCAGGCGCGGTGGATGGGAACCATCTGTGCCCTGTCCCATGGGGCTTCGTGGGGCTTCTGCAGACACGCCACAGGACAACATACCGTGTACAGTTTTGGCCGGTTCTCCCGGCGACGGGCGCTGGAAAAGATATGCACCGTGCTTGGGCCGCCATTCGCCATGAAGTGGTGGACAAACACAACATAGAACGCTGCAGAGGCACCGATTCGTCAGCCGAGCGTCGGACACAAGGCCGCCGGCACGCCCAAGTGGAGATGCCCGCTGGAACGGGCGCCGTGCCTGCCGAGCGTCTCCTCTTGCCAGATGCCCGCCCCTCTTCTCCTACAGCGACGACGACGACATCGGAGCCCGTGGTGCTTCCGCCGGCGCGCAACGGAGCAGTAGGTCTTGGAGAGCGACTTGATCGCAGCCTCCTTTGCCTTGATCTCGCGCTGGATCTGCATGCGGCTCTTCCCCTCCAGCGCGGGGGGGAGGCTGCGGTCGAGAGGGAGGGGATCTCGGAGGGTGGGACGGGACGGGGCGGAGTGATGAGAAGAGGGGTTCGCTGACGAGGAGGGGGCGCGGACTGGGTTGCATATCCGGTGTCTCTTGGGAGTGCGATCGGGGCGCTGAGGGGCGGTCTTGGGACGCTCGTGGGCCGAGGAGGGCTCCTCTGGGGGCCCCGCAGACATCTGGGGGTCATGCGCCAGGAAAGATCCTGCGGAAGGCTCGGAGGCCTGCTCGGGAATTCTCGGGGGGAAAACCTCTCGGGGGAGAAGCCTGCGCGGAGCCCTGGGCCCAGGATCTCCGGCAGATGTGCGTTCCCTGGTCGGCGCTTTCACTGGAGGAGTCCTGGCGGAAATTGAACGAAAAGGCGAAGGCTGCAGTACGTGGCTGGGCTCCTGGTTTGGCGAACGTTTTCGGCAAGTGGTCGGGCCCAAGGGCTCCCATCCTGGGCTCCTGAAGTTATGAAAATATGACCAGAATGCCGGGTCAATTTCGGTGGGCAGTGCGATTCCCAGATTTGAATGAGTATGGCTTCGTATTCTTGGTTGCGACCCAGTATTCGCATCCTTGCGAACACGGGCAGAATACAGAGTAGAGCGTAGAGGGTAGAACGTACCGTTCAGAGATCGGAGAGAGCGTGATCCACCGCCGCTTTACTGTGGAAAATTGCCCCCCTCTTCCTCCAGAACCCGGGGTCCCCCCCCCCTCCCCTCCGAAAATCCCCCCCCCCCCTCCTGCTGGACCCCCCCCCACCCCCCCCTCCCCTCCCCCAGCACCCCCCCCCCCCCCGCCCCCCCCCCCTAACCCCTTCCCCCCCCCTCCCCTTGAAAAACTGGGGGGGGGTCAATACCGGTTCGAAGCCCCCCCCCCTCGAAAACCGGAGGGGGGGTCACTACCGGTTCGAACCCCTCCCCACCCCCCACTCACCGCCAGCAAACGACTCCCGGTCCCTACCACCGTCCGCACCACATCCCCCACTGTTGTTCCCAGCACCACTGTCCTCACCACCACTGTCCCCACTGGTTCCACCACCGTCCCTACTGTCCCCACCAGTGCTCCCACCACTGTCGCACTGTCCCCACTGTCCCCACCACTGTTCCCACCACGGTTCCACTCTCCCCACTTTCTCCACGGCCCCAACCACTGCCCGACTATCCCCACTGTCCCCACAGTCCCGCTGACTCCTACGCTGTCCCACTGAGCTGTCCCACTGTTCCCACCACTGTCCCCACTGTCCCCGCCACTGTCCCCACTGTACCTCTGTCCCATTGTCCCACCGCCGTCCTCGCCACCGCCTCCACCACTGTCCCCACCACCACTGTACCCTCCACTGTCCCACTGTTTCCACCTCCCACTGTCCCCACACCTCTGTCCCCACAACCACCGTCCCCACCACTGTCCACTGTCCCCACTGTTCCAACCATTGTCCTCGCCACTGTCGCCACCACTACAGTCCCCACCACTGTCCCACTGTCCCCACCACTGTCCCGCTGTCCCCTCACCACTGTCCCCACCACCACCGTCCCCACCACTGTCCGCACCCCCACTCGGTTTTCGAGGGGGGGGGGGGGTTCGAACCGGTAGTGACCCCCCCCGGTTTTCGAGGGGAGGGGGGGGCGGGTTCGAACCGGTAGTGACCCCCCCCCCTTTTCATGATGAACTGGGGGGGGGGAGGAGGGGTTCGAACCAGTAGTGACCCCACCCGGTTTTCCGGAGGGGGGGGGGGAGGGGTTCGAAACGGTAGTGACCCCCCCCGGTTTTCCGCCAGCAGCGGTAGAACACGCTCTTTCAGAGATCGGAGAGTCGAAATTCGCCGGCCCAACGGGCCAGAGGCGTGCTAAGATCTCGGGTAACTACCTAACAATATTTCTAGTTCGCGCGCGGCGCGGGGCGGCCCCTGGGGGGCCCCGGGCGAAAAGTACCCCGGCAAGGTCACGGGACACTCCCGGCAAACTCAGGTCAGAGATGGTTTTCCTCCTTGGTGCGGCCTTCCACGCTCCCTGGAGGGTTCCGAATCACCGAACGATCGGCCCAAGACGCCCAACACGGCCTCAAGACGGCCCAAGAGGCTTCCAAGACGTCCCAAGAGAGCCCCGACCCTTTCCAAGAGAGCCCCAAGAGGCCAAAATCATTGATTTCCATAAGGTTTTTCAAGGTTTTGGGCTCCCTCGCCTTTTCGCGTTTCCGACGCTCCAAGACTACCCAAGAAGCCTCCAAGACCACCCCAAGACGGCCCAAGAGGCCTCCAAGAGAGCCCCAAGACCGCCCAAGAGGGCCCCACGACAGCCCAAGAGGCGCCCAAGACGGTCCAAGAGGACCCCAAGAGGGCCCCAAGGGGGGCCCAACATGGAGACCACGAACCGAAAATCCGAGCCTTCCGCTCCAAGATGCCACCTGGAGGCTCCAAGAGGCCCCCAAGAGGCCCCAAAAGGCAACATGGGGCCCGAAAGAGACCCCAAGAGGCTCGACAACGACTCCCGAGAGTCTCCAAGAAGCCCTCGAGAGGCATCCAGCGAGATGACAATGAACGTCCACGAAGCCTCAGAGCGCCAAAACCATTGATTTCCTTTGGGTTTTTCGAGGGTGTTGGCTTCCTCGCCTTTTCGCTTTTCCGACGCTCCAAGACTACCCAAGAAGCCTCCAAGACCACCCCAAGACGGCCCAAGAGGCCTCCAAGAGAGCCCCAAGACCGCCCAAGAGGGCCCCACGACAGCCCAAGAGGCGCCCAAGACGGTCCAAAAGGACCCCAAGAGGGCCCCAAGAGAGGCCCAAGAAGGAGACCACGAACCGAAAGTGCTCCAAGAGGCCTCCTGGACGCCCCAAGAGGCTCCTAAGAGGCCCCAGCAAGCGACAAGGGGCCCGAAAGAGACCCCAAGAGGCTCGAAAGCGACTCCCGATAGTCTCCAAGAACACCCTCGAGAGGCATCCCACGAGATCCCAATGAACGTCCACGATGCCTCAGAGCGCCCAAATTAATTTCCTTTGGGTTTTGCAAGGTTGTTTGCCTCCTCGCCTTTTCGCCTCTCCGACGCTCCAAGACTGCCCAAGAAGCCTCCAAGACCACCCCAAGACGGCCCAAGAGGCCTCCAAGAGAGCCCCAATACCGCCCAAGAGGGCTCCACGACAGCCCAAGAGGCGCCCAAGACGGTCCAAGAGGACCCCAAAAGGGGCCCAAGAGGGGCCCAACATGGAGACAAAAAGCCTCCAGCACCACCCCAAGACGGCCCAAGAATTCTCCAAGAGAGCCCCGAGACCGCCCAAGAGGGCCCCACGACAGCCGTGCACCAATACGGGCCGGCGGAATGAGCGAAGCGATTAAATTATATAGAGCAGACTGCAGAGCGAGTAACGAGGCTAGAGCATGCAGTAAAGAGAGTGGGGAGGAAGAGAGAGCGAGAGAAAGGGAGAATGAGAGAGAAAGAGAGAGAGAGAGAGAACAAAAAAACACAACAGAGAGAAAGGGGGGGCAGATGGAGTAAGAGCGTATGTACACATGTACATCTAGAGAAAGAAAGAGGGAGCGAGAGAGAAAGAGAGAGAGAGAGAGAAAGCAATGAGACAGCAGACATAAAGAAAGGAGACAGCGCGTTTCACGGGCGCTTGCCTTGGGAACATTCGCAGAACCGGGGGGACTCCCCTGCCCCCTACCCCCCCCCCCCTCCGAAGCGACCGATTGTTACTGTGGCCTGTTGGGTGTTGGTGTGGCCAGTTGGGTGTTAGTGTGGCCCGTCGCGCGGCCGGATGGGAGTTACTGTGGCCCTGGCTGGCCGTTCAACGAAAAGTAAGATATAAAGATATATCGTGTTAGATCTGGAGAGATTCGCAACTCTTACGGGGTTGCATTCCCGCGCAGGCAAAAAGAGGCCACAGTGACTCCCACCTGAAACCAATTCAGTAGTAGTAGTAGTAGTAGTTGTTGTTGTGAAAGTAGTAGTAGTAGTAGTAGTAGTAGCAGTAGGAGTAGTAGTAGTAGTAGTAGTAGTAGTAGTAGTAGTAGAAGTAGTAGTAGTAGTAGTAGTAGTAGTAATAGTAGTAGTAGTAGTAGTCGTAGTAGTAGTAGTAATAATCCTAGTCGTAATGATAGTAACAGTAATAGTCGTAGTAGCAGTAGTAATGAGAACACTCGTATAAAGATTAGTAGTCGTAACAGTAGTAGTAGTAGTAGTAGCAGTAGTAGTAGTAGTAGTCGTAGTAGTAGTCGTAGTAGTAGTAGTAGAAGCCGCAGTAGTAGTAGTAGTAGTAGTAGTTGTTGTTGTTGTACTAGTAGTAGTGAGAGTAATCGTAGTAATAGTAGTAGACGTAGTCGTAGAAGTAATAGTAGAACTACTCGTCGTGATAGTAGCAGTAGCAAGGGTAGTAGTAGTAGTAGTAGTAGTAGTAGTAGTCGTCGTCATTGTAGTAATAGAAATGGTAGTAGTAGTAGTAGTAGAAGAAGTAGTAGTAGTAGTAGTAGTAGTCGTAGTAGTAGTAGTAGCGTGATAGGAGCTACCGTAGTAGTAGAGTAGTAGTAGTAGTCGTCGTCGTAGTAGTAGTAGTAGGAGTAGTAGTAGTAGTAAAGTAGTAGTAGTAGTAGTAGCAGCAGCAGTAGTAGTAGTAGTAGTGGTAGTACGACTACTGCTACTACTACTACTACTACTACTACTACTGCTACCACTAGAAGTGGTGGTCGTGCTTCGGAGCAGCAGTAACAGTAGCATTGGTAGTAGTAGTTGTTGCTGTAATAGTAGCAGTAGTAGTAGTAGTAGCAGTAGTAGTAGTAGTAGTAGTAGTAGTAGACATAGTAGCGGTGGTCGAAGTAGTAGTAGTAGTAGTAGTAGTAGTAGTAGTAGTAGTGGTGGTAGTGGTAGTAGTAGTAGTAGTAGTAGTAGTAGTAGTAATGGTAGTAGTAGGCGTAATCCTAGTAGCAGTAGTAGTTGTAGTAGCAGCAGTTGTAGTACTAGCCGTTGTAGTAGTAACAGTAGTAGTAGTA